GCTGTTCCTGCTTGACCAGGTGGAGTCCTTTGAGAAGGAGAAGGATCTGCAGAAGGAGATCCTTGGGGCTGGGTTTTTTTTTTTTTTGAGACAGAGTCTTGCTCTGTTGCCCAGGATGGAGTACAGTGGCACGATCTCGGCTCACTGCAAGCTCCGCCTCCTGGGTTCATGCCATTCTCCTGCCTCAGCCTCCCGAGTAGCTGGGACTACAGGCGCCTGCCACCTCGCCCGGCTAGTTTTTTTTTTTTTTTTTTTTTTTTTTTTTTTTGTAGTTTTTAGTAGAGACGGGGTTTCACTGTGTTAGCCAGGGTGGTCTCGATCTCCTGACCTCGTGATCCACCCGTCTCGGCCTCCCAAAGTGCCGGGATTACAGGCTTGAGCCACCGCGCCCAGCCGGGGCTGGGTTTTTATCTATAGGACCAGAGACGATTCTTTGGCTAGTGAGTAAGGAGATGGAGTTAGCAATGGGAGAAAGTAGGTAGGAGCTGAGGATGGGCTATGAGCCATAGACCAGATGGGTTAGGAACCAGCTTTTCATTTTGCTTAATGAGGTTTTAGGACTAGACACAAATCCCACCTCTCTCCTCTGTACTCACGACTACCAAAAGGGCCTGGCTTTCAGAGACAGAGGATGTGGAACCTGACTTGGGGGTGGGAGTGAGGAGGTCTGTAAGAGGAATCCACATGTGGAAAAAGTATGATGGCAGGTCAAGATGGTGGCGTTGGGACAGGGCATAATGGTAACTGACAATCATGTATTCTTTCCACATGTGTTCATTGACTATTACTTTGCAGCACGTAAATCTGGGGTACTGGGTGAGAACCTCGCAGTGGACAAGACAGGCAAGGCCCTTCCTGAGAAACCAGGAGACAATAAATAAGCAAATGAGCAGGATAACTTCAGGTGATAGCAAGGTAAAGACAATGACCCTACTCAGATTTTAAAGATTGCACAGACTACTGTGTGACGATGAAACTGGAGGGAGAAAGGAGGAAGCTAGAAATCCAGTTGGGCAGTACTGCCTCATCAGGAGAGAGATAATAGTGTCTTGGACCAAGATGGTACCCCTGGAGATGGAGAGAAGTGGATGGACTTGGAATACATGAAGGAGGCAGAGCTCAGAGACTGGATGTGAGGGAAAGAGGAATGAGGTCATTGGGCCCAAGCAACTGGGTGGATCATGGTGCTGTTGATTGAGACTGAGAAGGCTAAATGATGAGCAGGTACTGGAGGTGTGGGCATGAGTGCACTGAAGTTGTATTTCGGTCATGCTATATTTGTAATGTCCACCAGGCATCCTGGTAGAGTCTGGAGCTCAGTAGACAGGTCGAGGTGGGATAAAATTTGGGAATCATTGGTGCGTGTGTGGTATTCAGGGAACTGGATGAATCACTGTGACTCTAAGTCTCAGAGTGTTGATCCTCAGCCAGGGGTGATCTTGCCCCCTTTTTCCAGGGGGCCCTTGGCGATGTCTGGAGATATTTTCTGTTACTGGTGATGGGAAGAGGTACAGTTTGCTTCTGGCATCCACCAGGTAGAGACCAGGGATGCCACTCAACATCCTGCAGTGTCCAGGCCAGCTCCCCGCACGTAGAGTTATCTGGCCCCGATGTCAGTGGTGTCAAGGTTGAGAAACCCTGCCCTAGAGCGAGTATGTAGATAAAGCAGAAAAAAGGAAAGTAAGCCCGGGGGCATTCTTCCATGCAAAGTTGGAGAGGAACAGTCTGCGAGGAAGAAGGGAAGCTTGGAGAGTACAGTTTCCTGGGAGAGGAGAGTGTCTGGGGAACTCTCAACTGTGTTACCTGCTCCTAAGAGGGGCATTCGAGCACAGAGAGAAGTGACCAATGACTTAGGCAAGATGGACATTGTTGATGACTTTGATACAGAGCAGTCTTTGTGGTTTGGTAGGGTAGGAAGCTCCAGGGGAACCAGCCTGGGCAACATAGTGAGACCCCATCTCTTAAAAAAAAGTAGCCGGCCATGGTGGCACGTGCCTGTAGTTCCAGTTACTCAGGAGCCGGAGGTAGGAGGATCGCTTGAGCCCAGGAGGTTGAGGCTGCAGCAAGCTGTGATAGTGCCACTGCACTCCAACATGGGCAACAGAGCAAGACCTTGTCTCAAAAAAAGGCAGCAGCTCCAAAGAGTAGGTTACGCCAATGGCCAATACTCTGTAATTTCCTCCCTGCTTTAGAATGCCTGACAAATGTGACTTCATGAATACACACACACCAGGCAGGTACTGTCACCCTCATTATATAGAAGTGGCAATATTATTCTCACCCCCGTTTTACAGAGGTGGGGACTGAGGCGCAGAGAGGCTAACCACTCCCTAGTGCCAGGCAGCTGATAGTAAATGGCAGAACCAGGATTCAGACCTAAAAGAGTTTGACTTCAGGGTCAGTGTAATTGGAGGAGAGGAAGTGGAGGCGGTAAATGAAACACCATGCTTTTGAGAGGTGGTGTTTCTCTTTGCACACTTCTGCTGGAAAGAAGAACAGAGATAGGTACAAGACGATGGTTGCATGTCGACAGGAGGGACCCATGTGGAGGCTGAAACTGTTGATGCTGTGGAGGGGTGCTGAGAACTGAAGCCTTTGAGGGGGTGAGAAGGATCTGAGGTTTAAGTTGAGGTGCTGGCATTTCCCAGGAGCATTGTCTGGTAACCCTGAAGTGGAGCCTAACCATTTAGAGCAAGATTACCCCTGTACTCAACTTCTCCTCTTCGCCACCCCCCACTGGCCTACAGAGGCTCCGCTCTGCTCTCCTTCTAGCCCTCTTGCTAAAAGATAGCTGGCCAGGTGCAGTGGCTCACACCTGTAATGCCAGCACTTTGGGAGGCCGAGGCGGGAGGATCATTTGTGGACAGGAGTTTGAGACCAGACTGGGCATAGTGTTGCCCATCTCCACAAAATTCAAAAGGCATGATGGCGTACCCTTGTAGTCTCAGCTACTAGGGAGGCTGAGGCTGGAGGATTGCTTGAGCCCTGGAGTTTGAGGCTGCAGTTAGCCATAAACACACCACTGTACTCCAGCCTGGATGACAGCACAAGACCCTGTCTCAAAAATAAATAAAAGCTTTCCTGCAGGAAGCTGCTGCACAGGCCTGACCCTTCCAGAAACAACTGGGCCCAGGAGCCAGTGTCCCAAGAGAGGACAATGGGAGCCCGAACCTAGCTCTGTACACATCAGCGATTCTCCACCCAACCATGACTGTCGGGATCCTTAACACAGAGGCCACCTGTGTTGGCCTCTGCAGTGTCTTATCAAGTTTTAGCGGAGCCATACCAGGCTCCTTTGAACTGTCTTAGGTACTGCACTTGCCCCTCCTCCCGGCAGAATGTTCTTATCCTCTGTTTCACCCTCTCTCACTCCTCCTCTTGCCCAGCCTCCTGTCTCAGTTTACCAGTCACATCTTCAGACAACACTTGTCCTATTCCCCCACCTAGGTGAGAACCTCCTGTCAGGTACTCCTGTCACAGTGGATCCTACTTTTTTTTTTTTGAGACGAAGTTGCTCTGTCACCCAGCCTGGAGTGTAGTAATGCAGTCTCGGCTCACTGCAACCTCCGCCTCCTGGGTTCAAGCAATTCTCCTGCCTCAGCCTCCCAAGTAGGTGAGACCACAGGTGTGCACCACCACACCCAGCTAATTTTTGTATTTTTAGTAGAGACGGAGTTTTGCCATGTTGGCCAGGCTGGTCTTGAACTCCTGACCTCATGTGATCTGCCTGCTTCGGCCTTGCAAAGTACTGGGATTACAGGTGTGAGCCAGTGAGCCACCACGCACAGCTGATCCTTCTTTTTTTTTTTTTTTTTTTTCTTTCAAGACAGGGTCTCACTCTGTTGCCCAGGTGGGATTGTGGTGGTGTGATCACAGCTTACTGCAGCCCCACCTCCCAGGCTCAAGTGATTCTCCCACCTCAGCCTCCTGAGTTGCTGGGGCCACAGGTGTGTGCCACCACACCTGGCTAGTTTTTAGTTGTTTTTTTTTTTTAAGAGATAGGGTCTCACTATGTTGTCCAGGCTGGTCTTGAACTCCTGGCCTCGAGCAGTTCCCCCACCTTGGCCTCCTCAGTAGCTGGGACTATAGGTGTATACCACCACGCCCAGCTAATTTGTATTACAGAGCCTTGCTGTGTGGTCCAGGCTGGTCTTGAATTCCTGGGATCATGCAATCCTCCTGCCTAGGCCTCCCCAAGTACTGAGATTGCAGACATGAGTCACCATGCATGGCCCCAATATCTTTTATAGTGCTCTAATGTCTTGCAGTTTTTTCTGTAAGTGTCTGCATTCCATGCTAGACTGTAACCTGCATGAAGGCAGGTTTTGTTTGCCACAGTTATTTCCAGTGCTCTGGGACATAGTAGGTGCTCAGTAATTATTTGCTAAATAAGCAAATGAACTGGCAGCTGTTTTACAGCCCATGTGATATGTATATGGCTCAGATAATCTTGTATTCAATACTTTATTCTCTGCTCACATTTTACTACACTTTTTTTTTTTTTTTTTTGAGATGGAGTCTTACTCTGTCACCCAGGCTGGGGTGCAGTGGTGCAATCTTGGCTCACTGTAACCTCTGCCTTCCGGGTTCAAGCGATTCTCCTGCCTCAGCCTCCTAAGTAGCTGGGATTACAGGCACATGCCACCATACCCGCCTAATTTTTGTGTTTTTAGTAGAGACGGGGTTTCACCATGTTGGTCAGGCTGGTCTCAAACTCCTGACCTCAGGTGATCCACCTGCCTCGGCCTCCCAAAGTGCTGGGATTATAGGCGTGAGCCACCACACCTGGCTAGATATGTTGTATTTAAGATTTTATTCTCCTTTGCACACTATATTTCACTATACAGTTTTGAAGCCTTCCTGATCACTTACATGATTACTGTCATCTTTGTTTGAAGGTATGTTAAGAAAGAGCTTAATTCAATATATCACTTTGTGGCCATTCATCTAAAATAGAAAGAGGTGTGTTACACTTGTGTGTTACTGATTCTTCCCAGCAGGATGCCTGGTTTGCTTTTGTGTGAACCGACACAGCTTTACAACATCCTGAATCAGGCCACAAAACTCTCCAGATTAACCGAACCCAACTATCTCTGTTTATTTGGTAAGTACTTGGAAAAAAGTGAAGGAGGTCGAACACAGTGTCCTTCAAATATTATTTTTGATGAGTTAACAAACTTCTGGGAGGGGGTATGAATGACTTTAGAACAGGGGTCCCTGGGCCAGGTGTGGTGGCACACGCCTGTAATCCCAGCACTTTGGAAGGCCAAGGTGGGCGAATCACTTGAGGCCAGGAGTTCAAGACCAGCCAGGCCAAAAAGGCAAAACCCCATCTCTACTAAAAATACAAAAAAAATTAGCTGTGGTGGTGCACGCCTGTAATCCCAGCTACTCGGGAGGCTGAGGCATGAAAATTGCTGGAACCCAGGAGGCGGAGGTTGGAGTGAGCCAAGGTTGTGTCACTGCGTTCCAGCCTGGGTGACAGAGTGAGACCCTGTCTCAAAAAAGGAAAAATAAACAAACTTCATCCGTATTTACAGCCACTCCCCATGGCTCGCATTACCACCTGAGCTCCACTTGCTGCTGTCAGATCATCAGCAGCATTAGATTCTCATAGGAGCACAAACGCTACTGTGAACTGTACATGCGAGGGATCTAAGTTGCTCGCTCCTTATGAGAATCTAACGTCTGATGATCTGTCACTGTCTCCTGTCACCCCCAGATGGGACTGTCTAGTTGCAGGAAAACAAGCTCAGGACTCCCACTGATCCTACATGGTGGTAGAATTACTTTATTATATATTACAATGTAATAATAGAAATAAATTGCACAAAAAATGTAATGCGCTCAAGTTATCCCCAAACCATCCCCACCCGCCCGCCCACTGCCCTGTTCCGTGGAAAAATTGTCTTCCGTGAAACCAGTCCCTGGTGCCAAAAAGGTTGGGGATTGCTGCTGTAGATAAGACGCCAGGTGTGATGGCTTGTGCCTGTAATCCCAGCGTTTTGGGAGACCCAGGTGGGCGGATCAGTTGAGGTCAGGAGTTCGAGACCAGCCTGGCCAACATGGTGAAACCCTGTCTCTACTAAAAATACAAAAATTAGCCGGGCGTGGTGGCACGTGCCTGTGGTCCCAGTTACTGGGGAGGCTGAGGCAG